GGAGCTACACGCAGGCTTTAAAGGTCACCAGGTCCAGTGCGACTCCAGGCTTTGCCACCTAAAATCTGTTTGACTCCTGATTCTGGCCAAAGCAATCTCTGGTGTTAAGTTTCCTTAATTAGGCAATGTGAAGAATGTGAAGAATACCTCTTTCCCACTGACAATCAATTAATTTAGTACAAATTTCTAGCATTCAACTAGTATGACTAGTATGTTTAAATATTGTTTTTAGAACCAGAGGCATTGTTCTGGTCCTCAAAGAGCTCAGAGATTAAGGCTGAGCCAAAAAATAAGTAAATAAATGAATAAAAAGGAAAAAAAGAAGAAGAAACCCTTAAGCTTCTCTAAGTATAATGGTACCTGATTTTTGTTCTTCTAAAATTACAGTGAACTAACTATATACAAGAAACAAACAAGAGAAATTAAAAGTATATTAGAGGAAAAGGGGAAAAGCTAAATACCTGCAGGAGCCAGGAAGGCAACATGAATGAATGAAGTCATCCTAGTGGGGTCTGTAGCCAAGTGGAGAGTGCATGGTCTCTCTTAATGGAGCTGACCCCAGTGCAGCTGAGAACCGTCATGGGGGAAAGCAGGTTCATTGTTAACAGAACTTCTGATTTTTTGATGAGGAGCTAACTAAAATTTTTTAAAGTATTTTTTGTGTTTTAAAAATTGACAAATAATTAAAATAAGTAAATGGCAGGTGAGCAGAAAGATAAAAGACTAAATAATAAGTTTGCATGAGTTCAGGTGAGCATATCTGTGACTGCAGGGGTGGGGTAGGATAAGCAGTGGAGTGCACGGTGATGGATAACCTGCTAGTAAATACATCATACATGGAGATGTCCAAAGTCTAGATAGGCCTTGTGGCATTGGAGAGCCACAAGTGGTTCAGAAAGCTTGGTGCACTGAAGTCAGTGCAGGAAGTGTGGGAGAATGAAACTGGTGAAGTAAGGGCAGGCCAGGTCTCCCTTGCTGTGTCAGCTGTGATAAGGAATTTCAGCTTGATCCCTAGGACAATGACTAATTTCTGAAGGGTATTAAACATGTATAGCAGAATCACATTTTTGAATTTGCATTAATTCTGGCCACAAAATGGTGAATGGAAAGGAAGAGCAAGGGCTGAGAGAAGCATGTTGTTGCAGGGATGCAGGTTACAGAGAATATATTGAAAGCACGTCTCTAGGCACAGAAAGAAGCAGATAAGCTGGGCAAGGTGGCTCACGCCTGTAATTCCAGCACTTTGAGAGGCCAAGGCAGGAGGATTGCTTGAGCTCAAGGTTTTGAGACTAGTCTTAGCAACATAGTAAGACTTGGTGTCTACTAAAATAATAATAACAATAATAAAGTTTAAAAAAATTAGCTGGGTATGGTAGTGTGCGCTTTTGGCCCCAGCTACTTGGCAGGCTGGGGCAGGAGGGCTGCTTGAGCCTGGGAAATGGAGGCTGCAGTGAACTATGATCACACCACTGCACTCCAGCCTGGATGATAGAATGGGAGCCTGTCTCAAAAATAAAAAAAAGGAAGAAAGAAAATAGAAACAAGGAAGAGAAGGAAAGAAGGAGGGAAGGAAGGAAGGAAGGAAGGAAGGAAGGAAGGAAGGAAGGAAGGAAGGAAGGGAGGGAGGGAGGGAGGGAGGGAGGGAGGGAGGGAGGGAGGGAGGGAGGGAGGAAGGAAGGAAGGAAGGAAGGAAGGAAGGAAGGAAGGAAGGAAGGAAGGAAGGGGAGAAAGAGATAAGCAAAAGGAATAAAAAATATGGATTTCTGAAAGAGGGAGGGAAAGCTACAGGACTGGGGAAGGGGAGGAGGACTATAGAGAGGAGGATGAGGAATGATCACTGCTGCTTTTCTGTACAAAAGGTTTTACAGAAGATTCGCATCTCCAATAACTCCCTACATATAGTAGGAAACATCATAAGAGAATACATAGAACTAACAACTATTCTCTCTCTCTCTCTCTCTCTCTCTCTCTCTCTCTCTCTCTCTGTGTGTGTGTGTGTGTGTGTGTGTGTGTCTGTGTTGGAGGAAGGGCAGCTTTTAAAAATTATTATCTTCATAAAGAAAAAGCAAACTTACTCATAGTTTTCTCCTTTGTAAAGACTAAAACAGCCAGGAAAAATGGAAATTCAGGTCACTGCAGTTGAGTTCATAGCTCACTGTGTCATTGTGTTTTGTCAGCATCTGTAATTGAAATAATCACCTTGTTTTGTACACCATCACCAGGCTCTGTAAGTCTCAAATCTTAAGGAATGCATTTTTTGCCACAGAAACATCCACCGCAGTCATCTTCTCCATTTATAAACTTGTTGACTAAGTCACACACAAGAAAACGTGCAGTAGATCTTGCATTCTTCACTTCTGCTAAAAGAAAAATGACACTAACAAGATATATGAAGAGTTATTCAAATCCACCGTGGGGAGTGACTGCAAAATGAGAAAAACCAAACCAAACAAAACATGTGACTACATAAATCCTCTCCTCTTTATTCTATACACTTCTCTCTCTAGGAAAGAAATAATGAAGCTTCCATAATCTGCTCGTGTTTATAATTGATTTATCTTGTGGTTAAAGAGATTTACTCACCAAAATTGAGACACACAGAAGAATGCAATTTGGGTTTGGCCTCCTGGCCTGCTTGGGTATCACTTATGGGAACTGAAAACATAATGATTGAACACATGTTGTATTCCAGGTATCATTACTTCAGAATACAAGACTATATTTATCCCTTAGGATAAATGTCTTTGGATGTAGCAAATGAATGTCATGCATATATTTACGAGTCTGCGGACCTGGTGGGATTTAGGAAAAATAGTCCTTCTCTCCCGCCTCACCCCTGCCCATGTCCCACTCACATCCTACCCATTTCCAATTATTTCCTTGCCTTCCTCAAAGCCCATCACTGGGCCAGTCTGACTAATGGCAGGAATTCTTTAAATTGTCTATTCATTCCTTTAACTTAGAGCTTTGTTTCTTATTTAACATTTCTATTCCCTGTCTAAGATAATGCATTACAATTTCTCATCTGATCCACGTTGACAGGAACACATCTGTATCTGGTCATTTGCCAGACAAAGATTTAATAAAGTTGTAGAATAATTTCTAGAATGAGGCTCAGATGGGAGACCCTAAGGGTGCAGAAGATGAATGACAAGCTGGTCCTGACTTTGGTACTTTCCCTTCTACCTTCTCCTCCCCTTCATTAGGTCATCTCGTAGACCTCGAAGACCTGTGTATGGCTTCCACTCATCCATATGTGTAGAACTGAGCCCAAGGATTTGAAACAAAACTTGTGTTTTTTAAGGCCAGGCTGTACCTCTGCCTTTCCTTGGTTCTCCCAGGAGTTTCAGCACCAAGTAAATACCTTCATATGTGACTTAGCTTAACTTCCCGGCTTGTCTCTCGACAAACATTTTCCTGATATCAGAGGGTAGGCTGGTAGAAGACTGGATTTCTGATGGGAACAAAACACACTGAAATCTGTCTGATTCTAGAATCATTTTCAAGGTACACATCAAATCTCTCTGAAACCTTCAAGATATACTCTCAGCAGAAATTTGGGTTACAAGCCTATTGTGTATTCTGCAAAAAGAAATCTGTCTTCTAAGTAATAACGTAAGAATAAGCTTTAGGATTAATGAGCACATATATATTAAGGACCTGGTTCTAGCCATTGTGAAGGTGCAAGAGAAGGCAAGGGAGCAGCAGTGATTGAACAAGTATTATATTCTATTATCTTTTTTTTTTTTTTTTTTGAGACAGTCTTACCCTGTGATCCAGGCTAGAGAGCAGTGGTGTGATCTCAGCTCACTGCAGCTTCTGCCTCCAGGGTTCAAGGAATTCTCCTGCCTCAGCCTCCCAAGTAGCTTGGACTACAGACACCCACCACCATGCCTGGCTAAGTTTGATATTTTTAGTAAAGATGGGGTTTCACCATGTTGGCCAGGCTGGTCTTGAACTCCTGATCTCAGGTGATCTGCTGGCCTTGGCCTCCCAAAGTGCTGGTATTACAGGCGTGTACCACTGCCCACACCGTATTCTATGATCTTAACCAAGCCTCACCATACACACACACAATAGATTGATTTTTATTTTATACATCAAGTAGCTGAGTCTTCGGTAATTCCATGGTCGATATGACTAATCAGCAAGTGACATGAGGTTGACTCCATGTCTGTGTGGCTCTAGTCCACCCACCCTCCCCTGCACTGCACTGCACTATGTAAGCATTGGGAAGCCTGTTCAGGTTTTCTAAGTTGGTGTACTTAACAGCTTTTGTCTAACATTGCCAGGAAAGATAGTCCCACTCTGTGCCTTCCACTTCAGATGAAAGTGTGCTGTAGACTGTGTTAAGAATTCATTTTTTTCTAAAGAAACATGACTATCTGAACTTGTACTCTTAAACATGTAAAATATAGGAACTACAATCTTTCACTTTTTTGTGTATATGGCATGAGCCTGAGGGAGGGGTTCCCAGCCTAGAAGGACATGCATTTTTTTCCTTAACTTTTAATTTAGGTTCGGGAGTAGACGTGCAGGTTTGTTATGTTGGTAAATTGTATAACAGGGATTTATTGTACCAATTATTTTGTTACCCAGGTACTAAGCTTAGTACCCAACAGTTATTGTTTTCTGCTCTTCTCCCTCCTCTCACCCTCCACCCTCAAGTAGGCCCCGTGTCTGTTGCTTCCCTCTTTGTGTCCAAGTGTTCTCATCATTACCTTCCAATTATAAATGAGAATATGGAGTATTTGGTTTTCTGTTCCTGCCTTAGTTTGCTAATGACGATGCCCTCTAGTTCTATCCATGGTTTCTAGGACATGCATTTTGTTTTTCGGGGGCTCTTCAGAATTCCAACTCTCACTGGAAAATTGAATGAAAAAATTAATTGAGCCCCGCATGACGATAGATAGTACTTAACTCTTACCATGCCAGCATTAAACCTAAATGTACTGAGCCCTATAATACCTTACATTTGTTTCCTTTATTTTACCTCTTAGGGGGAACGTCTTCCAGGCAGAAAGGTTTCCTAGGATGCATTCGCTCCTTACACTTGAATGGACAGAAACTGGACCTGGAAGAGAGGGCAAAGGTCACATCTGGAGTCAGGCCAGGCTGCCCAGGCCACTGCAGCAGCTATGGCAGCATCTGCCACAATGGGGGCAAGTGTGTGGAGAAGCACAGTGGCTACCTGTGCGATTGCACCAATTCACCTTATGAAGGGCCCTTCTGCAAAAAAGGTACCGTATGTGCTCCCGTTTCTCCTGAGTGCAGTGCTGCATCACCTACACACTAGTCAGGCCATGTGATACTCACACTCTCAGACAGTCTTTGTCATCTACTCTCCCTTTATTTAGAGAGTCTGAATAATTTCTCATCATAATCGCATACACTTGTTGGTACTGGGTGTGTGCACCGGCAATGCCACTGAACTGGATGGACAATCACAGGAAAACATCCTGCCCATGGCCAAAAAGCCAGTTGAGAAGGTAAAGAGGTGAACTCACATTTCTACTGTTGGCTAGATTGTTAGTGACCCCTTTGCTATTTCCACTTCCAATCCCTCAGTTTACAAATGTAATCAAACAATTGTGGAATCTTGCTCTGGGGCACCTTAGAGGCACCTAAGACATCTTAGGTTATTTTTACAACAAAGAGAGTAATGGTAAATTAGTCAACACAGTACCATGTATCTGGTGAAATCTCTCTATTCTGCAGGTGATGTGAACAAAGGTCTGAGGCTTTCAAAGCCCTGTCTGAAGGCTCATATTTAGTTTATTGGTGGGCTAGGACTGAAATGCCCATGAAAGTCTAAATTTCTGCCCTGGGGCTTTCTCTACACCCCTTCACAATCTTATGAATTCTTTACATTGATACAAATGAAAAATTATGGATATACACCTTGGACAAGGAATGAGGATCGTTGTGTGAATTCTCTAGATAAATATAAGATACTTCAAGAAACTAGAAAATTTCAATATTAAGTATAAATATGTAGTATTTTTCAAACATAAGAAAAAAAATTTGGTTCACTCTCAATCTTTGCAGTATTTTAAGTTTATTTTATTGCTGGAAAAAAAGTTTGTTCAGTAAATAATGTAAACAATAATTCAAGAGCAGCATTTGAATTATTAAAATAAAATGTTTGAATCATTTTGAGACACCATTTACAAACAAATAATCATAGCAATTATAAGTAATTATTCTCTATTCATTAAAACACATCTTGAAAGCACCTTTACAAAACAATGGTTTATTTAGTCCAGCTTAATACAGTTGGAGCTTAGAGACAAAAGAGGAGAAAAAAGCACTCCATGTTTTCTCAGAAGGATACTATAATTTAAGCCCTCCATTCATTCTTACAGGTGCCTTCTCCTCAATTAGTTTGAATTACTTACTTATTATTGCCAAGAGCATGTTATGGTTCTTGGGAGAAAATTAATGGTAAAAATTTTAGGGCTAAGTGCATGGGAGCTTAAAATAAAACAGGTTGCATTCCAAGGGCTTGTACTGTGAGCTAAACAAGCGAAGTGCTGCCAGGTATTCACACTGGGAGAGGTCTCTCAACAATGTCCCCTGAGAAGTGTGAATGCTACTTTAGAGCTGTCCCACACGCTAGTAGGAGCACAAACAGAATAAATACCATGACCCACATACTGAGGTGCACAAGAATTCTCCTCAGCATCTCTACCCAAGTATTTTGTTTGAAAGAAAGTGAACAGGAGACCTCTTTGCATTTCTCTAGGGAAATTATTCAAAGATCTCGTAGATCACATTGTTCTAACTGTAGCCTAATTTATTTTTATTTTTTTGGCTCCTTTCTCCAAAGCCACTCCTATTAATTTTCTTCTGCCCACAGCCCTGTACCTTTTTCCTGCATATGTTTCAACATCTCTGTGCTCCCTCCCAATTTTTTTAATGATCTACAAGTTACATAGGCAATGTGTGCCTAGCCTTTTTGTGTGCTTTGCACTTCACTATTTCCTAACTATTAATTCTTTCTGTTAATGCTAACAGAATAATTCCCTCTATTAGTAGAATCTTTGAGCCCTGCCAACTGCCTCTAGGCGATGTGGCCGGAACTGAAATGGGGAGCGAGAGGCTACAAGATGGTTCTGAACAAAGGGTGGTCTCTTGGGCGATTGGGGTAATCTTCCATGCTACTTATTACGGCATAGTATATTTCAAGGAGATGGTGTGTAAACACTGAATATATCTTGGGTAGAATTAGGGACTTTTTTTTTTGCATTACCAATCCCTAGGTCAAAACTGTGGTCCATTGGCCGATTTTCTCTTTCTCATATGGTACAAAGAAATAATCATCATAAAAAATCAATAACTAGTAATTAACTGCAACATATATTCCTCATCCAAACAAATAAAGTACATATTAATATCTAAATTTAACATATTAGTGGTTCATAAAGGTGTACTGACTTGCTAAATGTCAGAGCTGGAGGTCCCTCTAGCTTATTTTTTGTTCATTTTTGTCTTTATGACCCTAATTTCATTCTACACATAAACATGGTAATAGGATTCCATCTCTTCAAAAATGCAACTTTTGTTTTGTGTATTTTTTCTCTCTCTTTTTGTTATTGAGATATAATTTATATACCATAAAATCCATCCTTTTAAGGTGTATAATTCATTGATGTTTACGACATTCACACAGTTGTAAAGCCATCACCACTATCAATTTCAAAACACTTTCATCATCCCAAAAAGAAATTCCATGCCATTAGCACCCATTCCCCAGTTACCCCTTTCCCCATCCCTGGAAACCACTAATCTACTTTCTTTCTCTGTGGATTTGTCCATCCTGGGCCTTTCATATAAATAGAACCATATAGTGTGTGACATTTTGGTGTCTGATTTATTTTATTTAGCATAATATTATCACAGTCCATCCATGTTATAACATTCATCATTCCTTTATTCCTTCTTAATTGCCAAAGAGTATTCCATAGTGTGAAAGCACCACAATGTGTTTATCCACTCATTCATTGATCAGTTAATGGATGGCAACCATATGCTGTAGGACAAGAGCTTAAGAACTCCCATGCACCAGTTATCTAACTTCAACAGTTATAAACTCATGATCATTTGCGCTTCATTGATACACTCAACTCCTAACGTTCTTCTTTATTATTTTGAAGCAAATCCCACACATAATACTATTTCCTCTATAAATATTACATCATGTATTGCTAAAAGATAAACACTCATTATAAACATATATCCACAGGATCATTATCATAAGAAAAGGATAATAATTTTTGGAATACTTGATCAGTGTTCAAATTTCCAATTGTTTTATTTTTATTTAGTTTGTTTGATTTTATCTAAATTAATTACAGCTTGGATGACTTCTGGGCAATTTCTAGACTATTTATTACTCAGGACTGGTCTTTCTGTTTGTTCTAATTCCAAATCTAGTTCTATTACTATTATGAAGACCAGCTACTGTTTATCGAGTTCCTACTATGTGCTTTGCTTTTATGTACTTTCCTCCAATCCTTAAACCCATCCCAAGATTAAATTCATTCTGATTTATATTTGAGTAAGCTGAGGCTGAGTAGGATCTGGTGACCCAAAGACATGGATAGAACCAGGTCCTAGCTGCAAGTCTACAGGCCCCACGGAGGCTCAGAGGCGCACCCTCCAGTACCATCCCATTGTCAGCTCCTTCCCCTAGTTCATGCCGCATATCACTGCACTGTCGATGTGCAGATCCTCTTGCAGGCCTCCTCAGGATGCTCTGCTCTCAGAGACATCCAGCTCTGGAAAACATTGTCTCTGTCACTAACACGTCAAGCCCAAGGTTAACTTCCACTAGGTTTATTTTTTTTAAATGTGTGTCTCATCATCTCAGAACAGAGTTAGCATAGGTTCTTCCACCAAGTGGGTGCTCAAGGGGTGTTGCTGATGGTGGCTCTGTGGCCTTGGAGAAGCAACATGGTCATTAGAAACCACCTTCAAGTTAAGTTTCTTTATCCTTTAAAGCTAGTGGTTTCAGATATTCTGATAACTCAATCCATCTGATCAAAAGGTTAAACTCTTAAAGTATAAGAAACTGAAAGAATAATAGAATCCAGGTATATTGCTGAATTTAGCTTTATGATAAAATAGACAATTTTTAATATTAAAAATAATTAGACTGGAGCTGGAGGAAGAATGACAACAGAAATTTAGTTTGACTTTTTTTTTTTTTTTTTGAGATGGAGTCTCCCTTTTGTTGCCCAGGCTGGAATGCAATGGTAAAATCTCGGCTGACTGCAACCTCCCCCTCTCTGGTTCGAGCAATTCTCCTCTCAGCCACTTGAGTAGCTGGGACTACAGGAGTGCACCACCAAGTCTGGCTAGTTTTGTAGTTTAGGAGAGACAGGGTTTTTCCATGTTCGTCAGGCTAGTCTTGAACCCCCAACCTCAAGTGATCCGCCTGCTTTGGCCTCCCAAAGTGATGGGATTACAAGCATGAGCCACCACTCCTGGCCCTGTTTGACACTTCTAATTACAAAATGCTCTTTATGTTTAATTTCTTATCCTAAGTATAAAGAAAAAAGCAATATCCTATATATGCCCATTTATGGGCATATGGGCATATATATTCCTACCAGAATGCTCTGAACTGTACTTCTGTTTAAGCACACACACAAACATGAGATAAAGGCCTTTTATTTTGTTAACTAGGAGGTGGTAGCTCAATATACAGGCCAAATATCCCTGAGAAAATTTACTCAAGGAAAATTCTTGAATCAAGCTGATGATAACCAGAATTTTCACTGCCACAGATGTCTGCTGCATATCTTTATAATCAGGAGTACCAAGGTTGTAACCTGCATGATAAATGCAAAACACTTTCTCTGAACCTTTAGTAAAAATGAACTAGTGTTCCCAATCTGCTAGGCAATATGCATAAATATGCAACTTTAATTTTTTGGCACTATTACAGAGTGTTACAGAATTTTCACAAGGTGGAACACATTTGCAATAGAATTAAGAAGCAAAAGCCAGGTATTATTATATTCTAGGTGCCACCAACTCAATCAGAGACCTTCAGGGAGAGTTTGGAACATTCCATATGCCATTTAGGACAAAGGGAAATTAATCATGCCAATATGGGTTCATGTTTACTGTGCAATTTTTATGGCAGAGGTTTCCTGCCTGATCTAAGGTGTGCTGCCCTATGAAAGAGCCTCCCCCACACACTCTGCTACTGTACAGAGATAAAAATTTAAAGTGAATTCAAGAGCAACCTTGATCCAAGGAGAGTATGTCAGCATTGGGAAAGATGATGAGCAGTTAATAAATGCATATACTGTATAAAAGTCTATAGGGATGGCTTTAGGTTAAATTCTCTTCTAACACTCTGTAAGTTCAAACTGTACTGGCAGCTCTCTTAAGTGCCTTACATACACCAGCTCACTTACCCACAGAGAAATGCTGATGAGGTAGATGTTATGATTCCCATTCATAAGAAAATATTCTCCGTAGAGTGCCTTATCTTGCCTGAGACCACACGGCCAGCATGAAATCAAATGGACATCCAGATTCAGTGCTGACTCGGGCAGTGCTCGTGCCACTACACTAACATGGTAACAGCAGGCGTGCTAGAGTGTTCTCCCAGGAGGCCGAGTGACTTGCAGATCCTGCGAATTGAATTTTATCAGTTTCTGGATGCCATATTTCTTCCTGGTGGTGGCAGATCTCTATTCAGTGTGTTGTGTTAGAGGGATTGTTTCCCATAGGACAGACTATTTACCCAAGTCTTGGCTATATTTTGGAACTGAGTATCAATGCCTACGCATCTAAAAAAATGAGTTTAAGAGCTGGATACTTATGCCTTTTCTACTTTTCCATAAATTTCTTCATTGCTGTTTTCATTGTTCTTCATGTTTTATCCAACATCATGGAGAATTACTGCTGCTCACCCTGAGATACCATCCACACTCTCCCTGAGATACCAGGAGAAGAACACAAAACAGGACTGTCAGGTTCTCAGTTTGGGGAGTAAGGTGGTGCCAGTGCATTTCCCCATGCACTATGCTGGAGGCAGGGACATGTTATCTTTGCTTCTCAGGAAATTTGCCTGGCACATGGTCGTTATTTTGCAGATGTATGTATGTAGAGCTGCACCTAAACTGCAGAAGGCAAACTTGAGCCTTCTTTCCTGGCTATACAGCCGCGTTCAAGGTTTGCAACCTGTGAGATCCTCAAGCTTCTCATTTATAAATGAGAATAACGACTTCTGCCACTTCAAAATTATTGTGGGAAACACACTGTGTGATGCATGTAATACTCCTCACACTGCCCAGTGCATAGGAAACAAGAGCAAGCAGTTATGGCTCACTTAAGCAATGGACCTAAAGGTTTCAATGTGTGCTCTCCCCTCTTATATTTTTCAGAGGTTTCTGCTGTTTTTGAGGCTGGCACGTCAGTTACTTACATGTTTCAAGAACCCTACCCTGTGACCAAGAATGTAAGCCTGTCATCTTCAGCTATTTACACAGATTCAGCTCCATCCAAGGAAAGCATCACATTTAGCTTTGTGACAGCCCAGGCACCCAGTCTTTTGCTCTTTGTCAATTCTTCTTCTCAGGACTTCCTGGCTGTTCTGCTCTGCAAGAATGGTGAGTGTGGTGGCATCATGCCCAGCGGAGTCTCAGCCTGGGCTGGAGGGACGGGTGTATGCACTCCAGAACTCTGTATAATTTCAACCTCAAGTTGGACCCACCTGGGCAGCTTATTCCCAGACTTTCAGCCAAACCCTTGACTGTACTTTACCTTTATGAGTTGCAATTGGTATTCAGGGCCAGTGTCAATTCACCGCTGAAGTCTCAAATACATTGACTTTAATTTGCCTCACCTGGATAGCAGTAATTCTTTATTATTTATTCTGTGCTGGAATCTGTTAAGTGCAAAGGAGAAGATCATAAGCATATCTGAATTTCAGAAGGACACTTGCCACATATATTTTGTCATCTTTGCTGCAGCCTTCTTTCTGAAGGGCTGTTAAAACAATGAGCATGCATGCAGGCTGCATTAATAGAAGGTGGTTGTCCAGGTCTCAGAGAGAAATAGTTAGTATTTGAGTCATAACTCCATAGAATAGGTAGGTGTCCTGCTTCTGAGAATCAGATTTTTTTTTTTCCGGCTGATTTGTTTTAATATAATGACAAACTGTGGCATTTGCTATTTTGAAACAGAACGATTTGGGGTGTTTTATTTGACAAAACTATAATATTGTTATTTTATAAACCAAAATGTTATCCCTTCCTTTCTTTCCTGCACGAACAGTGGTGGGACCTAGCAGAAAGGAATCCTGGAGTGTGCCCCATTCATCCATTCACAGCGCCCTCTCCAGGCCTTATGAGGAAACTCTAAATTATTATCTTGCTTTATTTCTTCGCTGGTTTATTCCTCTTCGATTCATCTTGCTTTCCAGATATTTACAACATCAAAAGCCGTGAATGATGTATGGGACTAAAATGATGAAATACTGAATCAGGCCTGAAGTGCTATAATAAAAATGATGGACCGCATGATGTAACAGGTGTCCTTCGTTATAAGAGAAAAATAGAAGGGAAGGGAAAAGAGAAAAATAGAGACTAGGATGACAGTGGCTCACACCAAGCCCAGCTGGACTTGAAGAACCCAGAAGAGCGAGGGGAAAACATTATGGCTCATTAGATCTGTTTACCAATAGCCTTTTATGTGATTATGACTAGGACCCTTCTATAAACATGGCAGGTCTTAAACTCTGCCCATCAGCGCTTTGTGAGAGTGATAAGGCTGATTGAGGACACTGAGGCATGGAGAAGTTCAGCAGGTGGATGTGCCACTGAGGCAATCTACGGCACAGTGAGGACCAGAATCCAGGTTTTCCAATTGTCAGCCCAGCAATCTTCTTTCTAAACAAGATCATCCTCTGAGGATGTCATTGGACCATAGTAATATGGTCGGTTACAGAGCACTAATATGCAAGATTTTTTCCAAAGCATCATTTGGGTATAGTTCCATAGGCACAATTGTACCTGTCAGGCTGTGCCTTGGGAAATACAGCTGCCATGAAGACAGACAGTGCATAATGAATATTATGGTATCAAATTGCACACACACATACACACACACATAAAACTCTATGCTGAGCACGATTTTAATTAATCCACACAGCATTTACTTCTCATTACAACCATGTTTGATTGGTGTAATTTTTATTGTTGTAGAAACTGAAGCACTTCCAAATCTCACAGCCAGTAAGAAGCAGAATTGGATTCACCCTCTCTTCTTCTGTCTGGCGGCATATTCTGTATCCTTAACCACAAGGGCTAAACTAAGAGTGTTTTTAAAATGTGCAATGTCTTAAATAATGTGAATCTATTCAATCGAGGAGGCATTCTTAAATTCTGCCCTGCCTGTATCTTCTTACTTCCTGAAGTCTTGCTCTATTAAAAGCTGCCGGATTCCACAGGCACCTGCGTGTTTTCAAATCCTGGCTGGACGCAGGAATCAGGAAAATACCCGTGCCTTGCAACATTGTTTTAAGCTTAGGCCTGAGGGCATGTGTGAAAGTTTATGAGTCCTGAGCCAGATCTGAGTGACCATGGCCCGTGGCACAGCCCTCAGGAGGTCCTGAAAACATGTGTGCAAGCTGGTCAGGGCACAGCTTGCTTTTATATATTTTTGGTTTTATATATTTTAGTTATCTCAAACTAACTCATTGGAGATGGGTGTCCAGACCACTGTTAGTAACAGAGCTCCCCCCCACTCCAGCTCAGAATGCTCCACCCCACTTTGCTCCAGAGGACCCACAAGCAGTAGGTGGTGGGAAACATGCCATGCCCTGATTTAAAATCCTGGCCATCTCTTGCCATCTCCTTATACTGCAGAGATACAGCTAAGATAGGTGCTCAGTCTTTCACTTCTTCATTAACTCTCTGGGTAATTACTAGTCAAACTGCACAGTACCAGGAACTGTGAAGATAAGCAAAGAGCAGCAGGACTAAGTGCTGTCTAAAGATGATAAGGAACGCGAGACTAAAAAGCTGCCTTCAACTTTTTGAAAGGCAATCTAGATAGAGGAAGAAGTCGTGTTACCCAGATTTCTAAAGCAATCTAACTACAAGGGAGATTTTGACTAAATTTTAAGATGAACCTTCTAAAAATTCAGGGATAACAGTGGAATAAAATACCTTGAGTGGTAGTGAATTCCTTACCAGTGGAGGCCCTCAAATAATAATGCATGACTATTTGTTGGAGAAGCCATACTAACTCTCCCAGCCATGAGTGAAAGGACAAAAATAACAGCCTCTGAGTTTCTTCCCAAATCTTAGATTTTGCGATTCTTTATTCCCTTCTTGTGTCGTCTTACATTTATATTTCTTTCTCTTAAGGCTTCATTTGCAGACTTTGAAATGCTGCTTTGAGGAATAAAGAATCGATATTCTTACAGCTTGTTCCCAGTATGTTTGTTCTATTAGGCCATTGACCTAATTACTAGAGAATCCTAGGAGGTGGGCGTTGCATTATAAAGAACTGAGAATATTTTAATGTCACTTTGATACACTGTTGTGAAAAAATATATAGTGTGAAAATACTATTGGAAGTTAAGGATTATTAGAGATTGCAAAAAGATCAGAAAAGCACAGGGTTTACAGGGAAAGGGTATTTATTATCTGTGAGAGTTTTTTTTTTTTTTGAGACGGAGTTTCTCTCTGGAGTGCAATGGTGCGATCTCGGCTCACCGCAACCTCCGCCTCCTGGGTTCAGGCAATTCTCCTGCCTCAGCCTCCTGAGTAGCTGGGATTACAGGCACGCGCCATCATGCCCAGCTAATTTTTTTTTGTGTGTGTGTTTTTTAGTAGAGACGGGGTTTCACCATGTTGACCAGGATGGTCTCGATCTCTTGACCTCATGATCCACCCTCCTCGGCCTCCCAAAGTGCAGGGATTACAGGCTTGAGCCACTGCGCCCGGCCTTGTGAGAGTTTTTATAGTAAGATTGATTCAAATCTCATGGAGAAGGATTAAGAGTCTTCTGTTAGTTCAGTTGTCTTTACCTTTCTGATGAAGATACTGCTGGGCATCTGGTGGAAATTATGATGAGATGGGCACTCTTACAGGGAGCCCATTTTGCTTTCTCCAAAAAGAGGAAGTGTCTACATCCAGGTTGTACACAATGGCTCTAATTTCAGCACTCTGGGTTAAGAAGTCAGCAGGTAGAATAAGGTGGATGAGTTCTGCAAACACTGCATACAAAGCTCAGCTTGTGAATTTATTTAATATAGTTGATCAGGCCAGAAGAAAGAAGTTCAATGTGTGTGACTCAAAGTCATGCTTTTAAGTTTCTCCCTGGCAGGGGCTTGATTTTCCAGGGCTGGAATTCTTCTTTGCCCTTTATCATTATTCTTGAAATTTCTCCAACTAGAGGCTTACTCTGGTTAAACTGCTGCTATCTTTGCAAATGAAAACAAGTTCTTCTTACTAAATAAAAAGAAATGATTTTAATTTTTGGAGTGGAAGAACAGAGGTAGAAAGAGAGGCATTGTGAGGTCAGAGAGTTCTTAGGAAAGAGAAGGCAGTTTTAGTTCCACAGTCTGGAACTTTGGCCACAGACAACTTCTCTGAGTCTGGACAGTTGGAAAATAAGGTGTCTTTAAGGCAAGAAAGAGGTCTAGGAAGGGAGATGAGCTCATTCTAAAGACACACGGGAGCTTCACAGCGTTTTATTGAGTGATAGCTTTGCCTTTCTCCACAGTAGCAGGGAGTTCTCCTTCAAAGTTGCAGCTTAGAAAATATTCATGGAGCACGTACCATGTGGCAGGAACTAGCTCATGTACTGGAGAGACAGAGATAGACAGAAAGGACCCTTCCCTGCATCTTTAAGAAATCTAGTTACAGGATAGAAACATAAATAAAAACAATCAAATGTCATAGATGCTAGGTAGAAGTCTGTTCTAGGTAGAGTGAGTTAGAGATGACCAGTTCTCTCTGGGAGACAAGGTGAGAAAAGGCTTCCTAGAGAGGGTGACGCTTGAGTTGGTCATCAAAGATAAGTTAGTGTTTTCCACAAGACATTATATTTTTTTCATAAAAATAAGGTATTTATTTGATCGTTCCTCATTTTCTCCACTTTATTCACATTGCAGTTGAAATGTGTGTGTGTGTGTATATGTGTGTATGTGTGTCATGACAAATTTGTTTCTATTCTTCCATCATCTTCTTTGTTGATAGAAACATAAAGACAAATTAATTTAGAATATGAGCTAACTCTAGGGCCATCCATCTATGGTGAAATCCTTTAGGTACAAAATCCAAATACGGTTCCCAGGTCACCTTCTGGGGTGCCTGTGCAGCTGCCCTCCAGCACCAAATGGTTTGTCTGACTTTGCTTTAGGATTTCCTTTTTATCAATCTTCATATGCATTCATAAGATGCACTGTCTGCATTTGTGATTGCACACACCTTGGAGGGAATAATGATGAACTGTGAGACTTTATATTTTGAACACACTAACTCAAAGGAGGCAAGAAGAAGGAAGCCAGGGAGGGAGCATTTTCAAAGCACAAAACTCTGGAGTGGCTACCCAGAGCTGGGCTGACCTTAGAACACCCCTGCCATTACTGCTATCT